GAGGGAGGGAGCGCGGGGGCGGTGTGAGGAAGCGGCGTGGGGCACAGGTGAAGAGCAGCGGTGCTCTGCTGTCCGATGTGGTACTCGGCTCTACTGTTCAAGCAGCTTTTATGTTAACGGATGGACTTGATGATCTTAAAGGTCTTTTCCAACCTAAACGAGTCTATGATTTTGCTGAGCCTGTACGTGTGGGAGAGGGGAAGATAAGCAGCTATCTGCGGCAATATCCTCACTCCTCTAATACACCGGGAAACCTGTCTGTAGAGTCGGCTATCACGTTGTTCCAGGTATCTCCCCACTGTGCTGTTGGGGTGCTCTTAGGGCTAGCAAAAAGGAACAGAACAGGTTAAATATGTTAATGCTACAGATCACTTGCTCTCCTTAAGAGGACCTTTATCTCTGTGTCCAGTGCCACAATCCACTATAATACAAATTCCCTGTTGCCTCCTAGCTGTCTGGCTCTAGCTGTGTGTTCAGGACCCCGTCCCCTGCAACAGGCAGGCCTTAACCTCCTGCGTTCCATGTGGAGGCACGGTGGGTACACAGATCATGATTCCACTTGTCAGTGGTACATCTGCTATATGTTGCCCTTCTGGTCCTGGCTGTTACGAAGGGCAGGGAGAGATGGTCGCATTCAGAGTCCTCAGTGTCCCTCTGTGGAAGAGGCAAAATGTGAGTATTCTGCCCCTCCTCCCTTTCTGGATACTGTGCTGTAGCGATCTACCTCTGCTACAGCTTTGCTTCAGAGCTGAGTAACCTTCAGCTCTGTATTGGATCTTGACCCCCCCTGCGTATATACGGGGAGGAATTAGTCCCCTAAAATAATGCTTGCCTGTTTCAGAGGAGACACGTAACTGAAAAATCCATTGAGACCGCTGTGTGACTGTAGCTGAAGATTTAACTTACAACTTCAGAATAAGCTGACAGGTTGGCCAAATGCTAGGGTGTACGTGGAAGTTGATGGAGTTTCCTGCCCCTAGTTGACATGGTAAATACTCCTGCTAATGCACTTCCATTTGAAATGAGGAGGTAGACTTCTTCAAAGTATTTAGGTGCTTAAATAGCCTGCTTTTTCTTGGGTGGTGCAGAAATGCTCAAAATACTTCTGCTGCCTTCGTGAGCATCTAAAGTCCTTGCATCCTGGATAATACTTTGCTAGAGCCTGAAGGTGAAAATCTAGTCCCTGTATTACTGGTTCACCAGTACATCAGCCTTCACCCTGTTTGACAAGAAACTGGGAGCTTAGTATTTTCAGTGATTGTTTAGAAAACCCTGTTGTGGCGAATGATAAACACACAGCATACTCGCTAGTTTAAGTGTCACCATAGATTATAAAAGTAGATACCAAACATTCCTTTTGCTTTTATTCCTTTGCTGTAAATTGTTTATCCTTGAATAGAAATACGAAAAACTTGACTGTTTGCCCAGATTTGCAGCTGGTCTCTAAAGGGAGAAAAATGTTAAACTCAGCAGTGAATTTGGAAGTTATGCTGCTGGCACCATCTGTCTGATGGTGCAGTACAGTGTTGTGCGGTGCAGTGGTTGAGCTATGGCTTCAGTGAACTGGGGACCCGGTATAGGAATAAAATTTTTCTTACTTGGCCTAGAGCAGAAGCACATATTGGTAGGGACTTGCATCATCTGTGAGGTGAATTCCCGTTGTGGAACCATAAGTGGTGTCGAGGGGTGGAGAGGAATAGAGGGGAGATAAGAACTGCTGAGGTCGGGAGTGGTGCTTGCTTAAGATGGACCCTAAGGCTGGGCCTGGGGCAGCCAAAACAGCGGTGAGGGCTGTTCTGAAAGGGTAGCCGGTGCTGCATGGTGCTGGCATTCTGTAGGCTGGAACCCTGTGGCTGTGGTCACAGCCCATGTACCTCTGTGAAGGAGCAAATTTGACTGTTACGCCATGAATAACAACCCCCTGTTTTTCATCACTGATTAAAGCCAACAAATACAAGATCAAACAGCCATCAAGAAATGATAGGAGATTGATTGGCTGGTTAGGCCTGACAGTGAGAAGATTGGCATCTATCTGACTAGACTGATGCTCTGGATATAGCCAGCAAGATTGTAATCATTAAAACTGTGATTTACCAAGGGCTGTAGAGGTGAGATGATAAACTTTCTTTAAAAAGTCTAGGGGGGAAAAAAAAAAAACAAACCCTTAAAATTCTTGGTTCTTTCTTCCAAAGATGTGGAGACTCTGGGTGTCACTCCTCTGTGAACTAGAGATAGTATGGGTTACATAGGGACAATTAACTGTCTCGGGCGGGGGGTGTGTGTGGTGTTACTTGTGTTGGAAAACTTATGAGTTTCAAAACTGAGAACAAATGATGTGCTGCCCTTGCCCTTGACTGTCACATCAGCCTTTACTGAATGGCTGTGCGGGTAGACATGCTGGCCTGATGCAAAATTTCTGTTAAATGTTCTCCTTGGGACCTGTCACATAACCTGGGATCTTAATGCTGCTGGGAAGGGAAGAGGAAGGCTCTGCTGTTCCTGCTTTCCCACTGTCCAGTGGGATTCTTACACATGGATGCTCTATTTCAACTTTTGGTTTTTGAGATGCACCAATGACTGCAGCTTGTTTCCAGTGTTCTTCAACTTTTTAAGGTTGCCTTGCACAGTTAAGATGTGTGTTGCTCAGTCTAACCAAATATTCTGTCTACTTAGGTGCTTAGCTTATGGTGAATAAGAAGATGGTTTGGTGACAAAGAAGTATCTGCTTGGGATTTTCCTTTATTCCTCAGCGTGCGCAGGGAGTTCAGCTACGTAGGTGCTCTTATTGTCTGTGACAGTTAAGGGCTTCTTTAAACATGGTAACATTCTGACCTGGAGAAAAGAGCAATCAGGCCTTCATCACTGCAGGTAATGCTTTAAAATGGTGGCTGGTCAGGCCTTTATAAAGAATTATTTTCGTATTTGTTACTGGATGTTCTAGATTGTGGCCTCTATCAGAGCATTAATAAGCATGTTAAGAAACTGAATTTGACATGGGAACTGGCGTTACCTCATCTGTCAAACCAATCCTAATGTTGATAAACTCTCATGGGGTGTGGAGCTAGAATGACATTAGTGTCTATACATGGAATATTACTGTTAGGAACATGACCTAAGCGAACTAAAAAGGACTGGCTAATGTCCCTGTGGAAGGCCAGGCATCACATAACATAACATAGGAATTTATTGAGTACTTAGAGTTTCTGCTGTGTTGTCAGGGGCCCAAACAGAGACATAGAGGAGCTCTGCTGGGACAGTGGGAGGCAGAGTTCTTTGCACATAATCT